GGATTTAGACGACTAAATTGCAGTTGGGTGGAGAGTACCGCTCTTCGCTTAGACTTCCCCAGGGGCGTCTCCTCCGCTCTCAATTTCCCTGCCCTCCATGGATTCTTCAGTGTCTGCACAGCAGCAACAGAATATTTCTTCCTTGTTTCTTCCCAAAGTCTGTTTGTACACCTCCCTCTAGCTCCCTTTACAAGCCTACTGAATCCAGAAACGTATCTAAAGCATTCCTCACGTGTCAACACCTATAAGTGTTCTAGATGAACATTGAAACTCAGTATTTCTTTGAATGACTGAGTTAAAATAGGAAGGAATGAGTAAACAATTTCCCTCGCCTTATTAGTGCAGTTAAATCGCCCAATGTCTGTGGACGAGGACTTGGGACTGTTCCTAGAGGAGTTCATAGCACATCAGTGTGTTCTAAAGAATTATGAAGTTCCTATGTAATCCAGGCTGCTAATCCCCAGATCAGCCTTTATTTGAAAATTAATGCTGCCATATCTTCCATGTCTGGAAAGCATTATTATGCCCTCTGGTAAAACTTCCAATTTGTGCTCATAAATTTGTTTTTAACCTGTCAAGCATGCATCTCACACCCTGTTACATACCTGTTCCATCCATTGTGAAATCACTGGGTTCTAAATTGCCAAGACAGACTTTATTTCAACAATAATTTAGTAGAGACAAAGGTGGTGGTAGTTGGCAGGCACATGTTAACTAATGTGCCCCTGACCCTAGCTCGTCTCCTCCTTTCCATGCAGCTATGGCAAAAGGACCACCACCCCCTCCCAACTCAACAAGATCTTTCCAAAGGAGCAGTGAGCTTGGGTCCACAGTCTAGGGATTTGGTCCTTGGGTTGTTACTGCTTTGAGCTAATTGGGTCTAGGATACGTTAATTCTCTGCTCTGGGGCTTAATTTCCTCACATTTAAAATAAGAAAGTTGTACCAAGTAATGATTGTAAAAATAATGTGTTTTCTTTATTTAACTTTTGCTGAATGCAAAGGATTGTGAAACAAGCCTTACCTGCGCTCGCTCCTTTAATTTTGGTCCTCCGAACACATCATGCTTACCAGTCAGAGGCCAGCAGTAAACAGATGGTGCACATCAAACGGGGTAATTTGAGAACTTAATAAAGAAAGGAGCTAGAGTTAAAAAGTGTGAGCAGGGTATTAAGTAAGCCACAAGGGGAAAGTATGGTGCCCCAAAGACAGGGAACAACATGGTTACCTGAACCCAGAAAGAGAATTGTGAGTAGGGGTTGATATGCAACCAGCCCACTGGGACCCTAGGAATCAACACCCAAAAGGAACTTGACCCATTCTGGACATACTAAACAGGAAAGCATGTGTTCGGTAGAGTTCTGAACCTACTCATGCCAACCTCGAGGCTCAAAAAACAAGAAGGAAAAAGTAGAGTGGGTGTTGAGGAGCCAGCAGAGGGTGTACATCTATGTCAGATACTATCACAATTTCTTGCTGAAGGTTATTGATGTTCAATACATTAGAAAAGTGACCTGGCCAAAAATATTTGAAAAATGCCAAATAATCAATAATCTTCAAAGAAATGCACATTAAAACTACAATGAGAAATAACATTTAAGTTAGACTGGCTGTAGTTAAAAAGGACAAAACAACAAATATTCATTATGGACAAAGCTGCTCCCAGAAAGGATGAGTTGTCAAATAAAAATTTCAGTGTCAGACATGGGATACTTCCCCGTGAGTTATTATTGGTCAGGGAGAACTTAGAAGTCTCCAAAGCAAACAAAATAGAGTACTACCCATCAGAACTAGACTGCACTGCTGAAGTTCCCTCATATTTTGGTTGCAGGGCACAACAAAATCTATCTTTTTTTAAAATTATGTTTACAATATCCTGTTGTGTGTATGCCTGCAGGCCAGAAGAGGGCACCAGACCCCATTAGAGATGGTTGTGAGCCACCAGGTGGTTGCTGGGAATTGAACTCAGGACCTTTGGAAGGACAGGCAATGCTCTTAACCTCTGAGCCATCTCTCTAGCCCCAACAAAATCAGTCTTAAACTGATTAAAGCATTGCTTTCCTTCAGCTGGCTTTCTTAGTACCGAAAGATGCCGTGCCTGCCACATGAAGAGCGAGACACCAATGGTCTATTAAGCCAACCGAGGTGAACACTGAAGGATGGCGGGTAAAGGAAGTATGAGACACAACGAAGTGCTGTGTGTGTGTGCACATTATATCACAAGAAAAAATGTGGCTTTGTCATTTGTGACAACGTGTATAGAATTGGAGGTCATTATATTAAGTGAAATAAGCCAGATCCGGACCAATAAATAACACACAACGCAGAAACAAAAAGTGGATCTCATCAAAGGATGTGGCAGAACAGTAATCTCTAGAGAGTGGAAAGAACAGAGGAAGAGGTGACGGAAAGAAATTAAAGGAAACTAAAACACAGTTAGATGGAATTCATTCGGGTTGTTTATAGCACAGCAGGATAACTATGGGTTGTAATAATCCATATTATTACATTTCAAAACAGTTAGAAGTATATGGAAGTTTTAGCATGCAAAATTTATTAATATTTGATGACATGGAAGTGCTTTTGTCCTGTTTGATCATCACACACTGTAAGTATATATTAAATCGTGGTAATGGATCCTGTAAAGGTGTACAAGTCTTACGCTTCAATTTAAAGAAAATGCCTTGGGTGCTTTAAGAGTATACAGTTAGCTGGGGACAGACCCAGGGCCAGGACCTGCCTCCAGGTCACATTCTGAGTCCCCTCAGTCCCTGAAGCTCCTTTTTGTTGAGACCCTTTCACCATTGGAGATGTCTGAAGGAGATATCTTCCCCCAAAGAGGTGCAAGGTTTTCTTCATATAGCCTTGAGCAGCTCGTGGTGTGTGTGGACATTCTTCCCATTCCAGGACTGTGTCTTGTCTTTTGACACATACATTCACTTATAGCCCCAAATGAGATGCTTCTAGGGACAAAAGAGGGGAACATTACTGTTAACAGAACAAAACAAAATAAGACAAACTTTCTTCAAAAGTGCTCTCCAGATTAAGCACTCTTAGTGTGGAGAAGGAGTCTCCACAGTCTAGTTTATATCATTACCCCTTATTTGAGGGTTTGCTTTTTTGCCATTTCGAGTACTCATGGTCAACCCTAGACCCAAGACATTAAATGGGAAAGTCAGAAACTAAGCAATTCACAAGTTTTAATAATTTTTTGCTACAGCATATTTTTTTTAAAATTGGCTCTCTTTGGCTATGCCTGTTACTCTCTTGTGGTGTTTAATTTACAGATTAATCTTTATCATAGGTAAGTGTATACAGGAAAAAGCATACCGGAGTTCAGTACTTTCCATGGTTTCAGACATCCACCAGGCATCTTGGAATGAGTCCTATGGCTAAGGGAGGAATGCATAGCTTTGCTCTCTGTTGGGTTGGAGATGGATGTGGAGTTGGCATACTGGTTTAGGAGGTAGCCCAAGGCTGCGCTAACTGTGTTCATGGAGACTGGGGAAGAAATGGGAAGAATGCAATGGAACCTGAAATGACTACCAAGCATATTCTTCAATATCCCCATGAAAGCTGTTAAGATAAGAAAAGGAAATTCTCAGAGGTTGGTAATTACTCTTCATGTGAGATTTAAATTTGCTGAAGAGGAAAGATTTGGTAATCATCTGAGGTCAAGGGGCCCATCCCCTATCTGTCTGTTCCTCTGACAAACAGAGATACAAGTCCCACTGTGTTCTCTTAGTCATGGGAAGCTTCCAGTATAAGAACTTCCTGACCCACAGACAGGTTGTAGTTCGGTGAAACAGGAGACAAATCTTCTAAAAGCCAAAGTGTTGCAAAGTACAGTTGGGCTTTACCAGCCCTTGTGCCTGGTTGAATTTAGAATCCAGCTCATTAAGACCGGCAAGCGTAGTTCCTGGTAGGGATCACAACACGCTGTAAGACTGGGGGGTTAAGCACTCTGTCCCGGTCAGTTCCTGAGTGTGACTTGTCCTTGCTGTCTCTGAGTATCTCAACCCAGCATCATGGGCCTGAGCCAAGAGTGGCCATACTGCTGAGGAACAACGCTAATGAGTCACCTTGACCGCTCATTCTATCTTCTGTTTGTTCTTAGGTCAGAGTGGGGGATAAACAGTGGAAGAGTTACATTTTCATTTGATTACCTCAAAGACTCAAATTTTTGCAAAATACCTGCCCACAAGTAATGAGATACTTTGAGCTAACAGGGTAATTTATATTCCTTTACAAAGAGTGTCTCCATAGGCAGAGCAGGCCAAACAGAAATCTCAAGAGTTAAAGTTTCTGTTTTAACTAGCTAGTCAGCACAGAACTGAGAAATTGTCCCTCAAAGGAAATCTCTCCAAACCCCGCCCACAGGACATCTTTTTCCTAGAGCGTTGGATTTCCTGTGATGGAATCTTAGCTAGGCAAGGCTCTGCCAGTCGGTTGATAACAAGTCAGCGACTTCAGCAAGTCTTGAAAGTCCTTGAAAACCGGTTTGGGGTGGAATAAGGTGAATTTCCAGGTTTCTGTGGAGAACTGGTGTCAAGAAATGTCTGCGAAAGTCAACTGCTGTAGGAGAGTCTGGAAGAGGGAGGTGATCACCTTGAACACACAAAGATGAAGAGATGTAAACTTACACCAAATCAGCTTTCATTTAGTAATTTGCCTCTTGTTTCCCAGACTTGAGAAAGGCTTGGATTTCTTAAATAGAAGAGAGAGAGAGAGAGAGAGAGACAGAAACAGAGACACACAGAGACAGAGAGACAGAGAAAGAGAGAGAATGAATCAGAGAATCAGAGAATCCCTGGCCCTTGGGCTTTTGTTGTTGCTTTGTTTACATGAAGTTAACACGGAGGAGCTGAGAGATCCACGGTGAAGATGCAAGAGATAATTTTAATTTCGAAAAATAAAAGTAACACATGCACACTCTCTCTCCTTAGGGTTGGGCAAACCTACTCCAAGACTTAGAAATGAAAGCATTTGGAGGATGGGCAAGCGGGAGGCCCAGCAACAGCGAGGAGCGTTGTCGGTAACCAAAGGGGCTCTGGTGAATTTCAGGTTCGGATTAGTGACAACTCAGAAGTCTCGCCGGCGGGTGGGGGAGGGAAGTTTGCCAAGGTCTCTGAACTCGGTGGAGAGAGAGCAGCCTTCCGAGGCTCCAGGCGGAGCTGGGCGTACCCGACGCCCCCGTCCTGGCCTAGCCAACAACTTGGGTCCTCACTCCCCACCCCTAGCCAGACTTTGTCAGCGATCATAAAATGGGAATTGATCATTCGAGCCACCATTGATTAGGGAAGAATGCTTACTGCAGCAGTGGGGGAAAGGTTAAGAGGAAATTGACCTTCTCCGTAGGTGACATAAAGTCATTAGGTAAATGAGATATTCACACTGGAGTTTTAAAAGGTCATGCTCAATTTTTATTTGCAGTCTGAAAAGTCAAACTGGAGCTCCGGCTTAGGGCAGGGACTTCCATTCCAGGGGACCCGGGCACCGACCAGAATGAAGTCCTGCTGCGCCGGCCAGAGGCGAAAGTGGGGTGTGGAATGCAATCTGGAAGAATTTGGCTGGACTCGGGGCCTTGCAACCCCAGCTTTGGACTTGGGGCCCGAGCCGAGCGCATCCCTGAGTGTGAGTGTTTGTGTGTCCTTCCAGTTCCGCGACGCCCGCAGCCCGGGATTCCCGTGGCCAGAGCACGCAAAGGGGTGTCCGGCCAAAACCCACCCCTCAGCGGCATGAACACTTCCCCTTTCTGCGCCCTCTGTGTCTCGCACACAGTGAAAGTGTTTTGTTGTTGTTGTTGTTGTTGTTGTTTTAAAGAAGAGAGTGAGAGAGATATTTATGCACATATTTATCCCTCTAATTACAGGAATTAATCCTCTTATGACTAAAAGGTAACGTGGAAGGACGTCCTTTTGATGTTGAAAAGCACCATTTGTGACTCACATTCAGACTGATTAAGGAATAATTGTTACTAAACGCTTTGCAAGAGGAAAGTGTTTAATTGAGGGGCATTCGTAATTTTACGGCTTAGTGCAAAATTAAACGTAATTAAAAACTCAGAAATTCCAACTGATTTTCCAATTATTTTTATTGTCTGAGCTAATTGTTACACAAGGGTATCACTTCTCCCCAAAGGCATTGGGATGGCGGGGGGTGGGGGATAAGACAATCATACCTTGTCCAAATATTCTCCAACTGGTGACTTTAGCGTCCAGAAGTCCAGAAAGACCCTACCTGGGTTTCATCTTACCTCCCCAACCCCCGCCCCGGTTCGGATCCCGGGAGGCACCCCGCCCTCCCCTCAGCAATTAAGCCTGGCAGTCACTCTCCCCTCGCTCCAGTTCCGCCAACACCTTGGGATGTGAGAAAGTGGTGGCGGTTCTTTTCTGCAGATCATTACAGCAAACCTGGAAGTATCTCGAGAAGGCCGATGAATTTCTTCAAGTAACACTTGTCAGACATAGCCGAGAGATTAAAAAAAAAAAAAAAAAACAACCGAGTAAACAGGGCTCTCTAGGGGCGATCTCTCCACGTCCTTGTGTGGGGGGGATTACGAGGGGGGGAGATTAACGTACAAACACTGACTCCAAGATGTTTATACACGCGCGCACAACGACCAACAGATGCAAGCAGTAAACTTTCTTTCGCCTCGCACTTTATTTATTTACTTACTTAATTATTTATTCGAGGCAAGGATGAGTATAGGGACGCTCAGATTTTTTTTTCTTTTTCTTTTCTTTTTTTTTTTTTTTAACCTTTTTTAATGCTGGGATTGACGGCACGGGGCCAAACCATCTTTGTATGTGTAGCTTCTTTGAATGTCCAAACAGACCTATTTAAATGCATTAAGAGGGTAATGAAAATGCTTTAGGCTTACTAAAACAACGTCACATCCTTACCTACCAGACTTTGCTGGAATCCTGGTGGGGGCGGGGCGGGGCGGGGTGGGGGGGGTGTTGAGAGGATGAAAAGCCTAAGATTAAGCAGAATGTGAATTTATAAATTTCAATTAGTCTAGACTAATTGTACAAGCGCGATGGAATGCTTGCGTTTCAATAAGAGAGTTCAGTTTCTCTGGGATTTTTAGGGTAGAGATAATCGAATTCACCCTATCTGCTCTTCTAATGCCCCACCCCATAAAATAAATGAGTGCCTCTGATCTGACGTGCTACGTGAAAATGGGTAGAATTAAAACTGTCAGTTCTGCTTGCAACCTGTGTCTTTCGATGGAGTTCAAAAGCTTTTAAAGGTAAAACGTGCAGATCACTTATGTGTGTGATTTCCTCTCCTACCATCGCAGCTTTTAAGTAAAAAAAAAAAAAAAAGAAAGAAAAGGTATTTTTACTCCTACATTCATTTTCCTGGAAGACTTCAATCTTTCAGGTATTTTGATGGTAGGCCCTGATGCCCAGGCTTGGTGGAGTCTGGGTTTACCTGAAGGTGGTCGAGAAGGTAAGGTGGAATCTGTTTGAACCAGTTCTCCTACCCAAGTGCGGTATTTTGTAGCTAGAATATGATGTTTGCATTGCTCCAACACTGTCTTGGAGAAAAGGTTATGCTAGGCATAGTTGGGCAAAAAGGAGGAAGTGCCTCTTCCAAAGTTAGAAAATGGTGCAAAAAGACGTGTAATTCGTCCTGGGAATTTGAGTAAAAGAAGCAGTGCCCACTTTAGTTTAGGCAATGATCGCAGAATTCTTTGAAGAAACTGACAGGGATTTTCCCGAGATGGGGTGGGTGGGAGTGAGGGGAATCCTAGGGTGGGCATTTTATGCAAATGAACAAATTTGAAAAGTAGTACCAATCCGGTAGTGTAAAACTGACAGTTCTGACAGTATTGACAACATAAATATATGTTTGAACACCGCACTTTCAGACACTTAACCGATGAAGCAATAAAAAAAATTCGACGACAATATTTCAAATAATCGACATTGATGTTTTGATACATCATTTTTATCCTCTGAATCGATCTCTCACACTCGAGCTGGTCAATTTCAAGTAAAAATGGGCAGCAATTATTTGCACGTTGACTAATGATGACCTTATAACAATCTTCAATTAATTACAAGCAAACTGCACCTTCCCTCATACTGGGGAGTGGGAGGAATTCTTCACCCTCCCTGCTCTTTGTCATTCTATTTTGCCGGTTTTTATAGAGGCCGGTCCAGAGTTGAGACTCTGGTTCAGAAAACTTAAAAGGGCAAAGTTTCTAACACCTGTAGTAGCCACCTTCTAGGTATGTTAGGGCATGTGGCCTCATTTCTACTTCAGAGCAATAACTGGCTCTTAGGAAACACATTCATAACTGGCCTTCAGACTCGTGTGTCCGGCGTTTAGAGGAGTAAGTGGAAGGTTGCTTAAAGCAAAAATTGAAGGTTTCTCTCCGGCTGAGCGTGAGGGAAAGGGAGGAAGAAAAGGATGAGAGGGAGAGTGAGGGAAACAGAAAGGAGGGAGGGAAGGGAAGGGAGAAGGGAAAGGGGAGAGAAATAGAGAATATGAATACACATAGCAGCCCTGTGATGAGAAGCCTATCTTGGTCTCTGCCTCTTCAAACCTCGGTTAACACCGCGGAGTGTTTATAGGTTACCGAAAGATGCCTGTGACTCGGGTTTAGAACCACTGGCTTTCTCGCGCGGTGTGTGTTGGCTGTGGGTTTTCTAAGGGGGCTTTCCTACTCCTGCTTTTGACACTTCTCTCCAGATTGTGCATGTGTTTGGTGGGGATGTTGTGGATAAATCTGGTTAACTGAGGAAGAGAAAATGGGCAGGCGCCATGCATGCAGACTGCAGACTGAGACGGTCCCTTGGAAAGCTAGATCTTGGGGTGCTGAGAGCACGTGTTCCACCGAAACCTCATTCCTTTGGCAAAGACTTGGTCCCCTGCCTGCTGTCCAGTCCCTGAGATGCCCCTTTCCACTCACACCGGGTGCCCAGCCTTCAGACCTCAAACTTAGCCCGGACTGTGCTAGCGGGGGAAGTCCAGTGTCTTGTTTCTTTCCATGAAACTTCCCAATTGTAGTTTTAAGCCCCTTCAAAACACCGCCCGCGGAGACCGTGGGACTTGTCATCACGTTTAACACCGCTGAAGTGCTCATCAAAGGGAGAAGATGGACGTGAGCCACGCTGGCTCAGGACTGGAAAGCCTGCAAGATCTGGGTGGCCGGACTGCCATCTAGTTGCAAGGGCTAAGGTGCTGGCCGGTACAGGGTTCGCTGTCTGCCCTGGAAACTGTAATAAAGAATAGAAAGGGGACAGAAGGGGCAAAGAAGGAACTGGAAATAGGGTACAGAGAGCAAAAGAGACCAGAGATAGTGGAAGACGCGAGGGGAAGGGCGCGGAAAGGAGAAACTGACAGCGGCGTCGTGCTCGGCGCTTTTGGAGCCCCGCCAGATAGCGCTAGAGGGCTACTTATTGAAACTCGTTCTTTCCGCGACACAGGGAAACAACTAAAACTGGAAGAAATAAGACAGGGAAAAAGCAAAATGAAGCAATTCTACTACATCCTTTTTTTAAGCTGTAGATTGCTTTAATAGTATTATTTCCAGGGAGGGAAATCTATAATAGGACTCCAAGGGGTTAAAAAAAGCAAAAAATAAATAAATAAAAATAAATACAAACAAAAGCAAAAAACAATAAGTGGTGGTGGTGGTGGTGATGAGGAAAGGGGACCCCAAGGAACCCCTTCCCCCTGTAGACGCCATCTAGAAAGAACACAAAGCAAGGTAACAGGTAAGGAAGTGAGTAGAATTCTTTCTAACTTTTCTGTTACAGCGCTTGGGAGGTCAAAAACAGTTCACAAGGATGAGGGGCGGTTTAAGGAGAAGAGACATTTTACAAGTGGCTCCAAGGGGCAAAGTGGGACAAACACGTTATTAGAAACACGAAATGAACTATGTATAAAAAATTCCAACTGTCATCCAGAAGCAGGACCAAGACAGCCCCGTGCCTTTGTCCCAATAAGACTAGGTTCAGGGCGGTTTCTGCGGGGCCACAGAATCCTTGGAGAACAATTTACAAACACCCCGGGAAGCCCGGAGAAAGGAGAGGGACTTCAAAAACTTACCCTCCTTTAGAACCCAAAGGAAAGCAGTGTGGAGGGAAAGGGGACAAGGGGAACAGAGGTGGGATACAGACAGAGAAAGAGAGTTGTGGATGGTGCCTTTTGAGGATTTTTTTTTTTTTGCTTGCTTGCTTGGTTCAGTAATCCAAGGAAATAAATATCCTTCCTAATGATACTTTTCTTTTATAGATCTACTTCGTTTTGTCAAAAAATCCTGGCGTTTCCCATGTTTAACCTCCTATTTTAACCCTGAACTCTTCTTTGACCCAATGAAATCCTCTTAAGTCCAAGGAATAGGTCATCTTTCTTCAAATTGAGGTTCCCCCAAATCAAACACAACCTCACGGTTTTTTTTTCTTACATAAAAGTCTCCTTAATACAAAATATTCCAAATCAAAACATTAACTGAAGTTACAAACAAGATTAAGGCTGGATTTACTTGCTCGTGTAGTAAAGCATCAATTGTTCTAACTGTTGTAAAGAAGACAAAAGGGATTTAAATCTGGTGATTTTAATACACAGATTAACACTTCAGGACTTCACAGTTCTGAGGAATTTAAAGTTATCTATGCAGAGGATCTGGAAATTGTGTGTGTGTTGTGGGGGGGGGGGGATATATAGAAAGAACAGCCACAAATACCACCTCAAGAAGCCTGAGCAAGTTCAGCTAAAATAAAGTTCCAGTTTAGAAGTGCTACTTCAAATGAACTCCCCTCCCGAAAGCCAATGCCATTGGACTACAGAACTAGGGGGCTTACATTATTCTTTTAAATCCTTAATGTTACCTATAGTAACATTCCACAAGGGATCAAAAGAAGAAAAGGAGAAATAGAAAGGAGTGCTTTTCAGAAGTCTAGGGGATGCTTCAATAAGAAAGGGGTGATTAAAAACAGACTCTTAAATTTGAGAGGCCCAA